GCCTGGAGCAGCTGGAGCGCGAGGAGACACAGTGGCTGCTGGAGGAGGAGGAGGACGCAAAGCTCAAGGTGGCAAGGCCCCTCGGGGGGCTGCACCCGGCAAACTCACGGTGCCCAGATCCAGGAGACAGAGCCAGCCAGGAAGGCCTGGCCACGTGGAGGTGCTGCTGGAGGAGAGCGGGACGCGGTGTGTGCCGGGGGAGCGTGGAGGAGGGCACCATGGAGGTGCGAACCGAGAAGGAGGGCCACGCGGAGGCGCGCACCGTGGGCACCGTGGAGGCGCGACCCATGCAGGAGGGCACCGTGGAGGCGAGCCACGCGGACGCACGCACGTAGGCACCGTGGAGGCCGAAGTGGCGGGCCACTAGGAGGTGTACCCTGGAAACCATGGAGGCGCGAACCCAGGAGGCGGGCCACACAGAGGCACGCACCGTGGGCACCGTGGAGGCGCGCACCACGGAGGAGGGCACCGTGGAGGCGCGCACCACGGAGGATGCCCCCGGCATGCTCAGCATGGCTGGGGAGGCAGCTGACCAGCATGCCGAGCGGCGCGTGCGGGCAGCCATCACGACCTTCGAGGAGGTCAGTCTCTGGAGGTTCATGATACAGAACCCCAACGTGCATGCAGCTGTCACAGCTGAAGCTGCAGCTCAAGAAGAAATGGATGTGTTCTCCTGACAGCTCCTTGAATCAGCGGGCCTTGCCCTTCAACGCCCTTAAGTCAGGGACTCAACCCTGGACGGGGAGCTGTATAGAGTCAGCGAAGAGCACCCCTGGGACCTGGGGGACACGAGGAGCCAGGCCCATGTCACGGGCCTGGAGATCTGTGGCATCACACCCCTCCTCCCTGGATGGTCCCAGCTCAAAGTGACCCAAGGAGCTGATCTCCTAATAAAGGCAGGTCAAAAATACTTTTTAAAAAAAGGCCTTAGCTGTGAGAGAAACGCATTGAAACAATAATGTGAAGCCTCTGACGCCATATCTGCCGAGGGATCACAGCAGAAGGTCCTGGACAGAGCAGGGCCTTGAGAGTGACCAACGCTAAAGAGCATTTGGTCAAAAGGCAAGGAGGCCTGGTCTAAACAGATTGGTACAACTCCCGAGACTCTGAACCTGGAAAACACTCATTTCCATGGCTCAGCTTCAGTCACCAACATACAGGTAACAGGGCAGTTCTCACGTAAGGAATTACGCCGCCAGCCAAAAGGCAAGCTGTTCGAATCCACAGCTGCTCTTTGAGAGGAAGGGCAATCTCCTCCCATGGGATTTACAGCCTCTGAAAACCCCCT